CATAACCAGGTTGTCTTTCAAATCAAGTGTAATGTAATTTTTCCACCAGAAATTCCGCTATTAAACACTATTTTTAAAAAATAAGCTAAAATAATGTGGGCTAATGTCATGTAAATGTATGTACGAATGATCAACAAGCTCAAGATCACAGTAGGTCTGTTTATAAGATCAAAATCAATTCCCCTATGGAGAAAATGGGATTTTTCAGAATTTTTTAATAATGGAATTTTTGCAACTGTTGTGCTCTGTTGCTGTAATATTATTTTGCTTTACTGAAATAACTAATTTAAAGCGAGTTTTATGCCAGTGAATTTCCAAGTAGGATTTTAGTTTTATTTCAGTATTGACGAAGTCTAACCTCAAGCTCGTAGCAGATTTGTCCATGTTAGTGAGCATTTGATGCTTCCCGTCTAGACAGTGTTAATCATCACATTCCAGATCATACCGGCATCAAAGCTCAAGATTCACTTCATTTTATCTGTATGAAACACTTCCAGTAAACACTATCATTGCAACTGGAAGTTTCACATCTGCTTCTGTCTTTTTTTGCATTTTTGTTTGCCAGCCACATGCTTTTGTAGTGACAGATAAAGTTAGTCATATTCTAAAATATTCTTCTTGGGTATGATATATCCAGAAAAAAAATCAGAAGTTATATTTCAGATATTAATGTGTATAAGGTAATATTCTTTATCCAGAATAATTTTGATTTTAGGGTGAAGTTTGACCTAGACATTTCTTAAGATAATTAATTATATAATTAGATAATTTAGCTCTAATGGCTTGGCAAAGTGTATCAGACATTTTTTCTACATTTTATTGTTGCATAACCTTTAAGATGCAGCAACAGCAGATGGTGTGTTTGGTGGTTCTTTTATCTGTAACGTTTTTAGCTCTGATTCAGTGTTGAGATCTAACCGATCTCACCTGCTGCTGTGAACACACACGCTCGTGCTTCTGTAATGCTGTTTGCATTAACTGTCTCACACTGCAGGAATCCGTCAGCCCACAGAAAGCCCATCTGGAATGCAGTATTTCAGAAACAAGTCATACAGAGGGTTTGGCGACCCACCTTGTTGGCTTTCCAATGCTAGATTGTAATTTATCGACTTTTATCCCCGCTCAGGATTTATTTCCAAGTTTTTGGCTGTTCCTCTCATAGATTGTAATTGGGTAGCATTTGAAGCATGTGTTTGTTTTCCAAAGACTTCAACAAACGCGCCGTTTCCAGCCAAGTTACATCACTCAGCGTCTTTGGCATAGAGAATGCGGAGACTAAGACTAACTTTAAATTAAAGACATGTTTGTGCAAAGACTGATGGGGGAAAAATGCACCTCACACATGTGATGCTACTCAACACAGGGCTGCAGCAAGGACACTAAAGGTGATAAAGCAGGAGAGCGGAGAGTTAATTTTGCATGTAAATGTGCAAACTGAATTTATTTACCTGCTTGGAATGTCAGAAAATTCACAAAATGTGCACAGAATATGCTTCACAATATAATTTGAGACAAAAAAAAACAAAACAAATCTGCAAGGCAGTTTAGAAGTCACGTGTGACTACTTGGAGAGGTCTGATCTTGGATCAGTGTTTCTAAACCGCAGCACTCATCGATTGAGGGTTGATTTAGGGTTGGTGAGAAACACTGTCACTGAGTAATCAGAGAGGAGCAGATGTGTCAAGGCCGTCTGCTTCCTTATCTGACTTTTTCCACTGTTCTTCCGTCAGTACGGGAATGGAAATTCAGTGCTTTAGAAGTGGTTCTGAAATTCACCCTGGGACACAATTTGGTCCTAAATCAGTTGGCAGCTTTCTTTTGTTTTGCAGCTTGCCTGAAAAAATACAGATAAGGCAGTTCTCGCTGTGCTAACATGAGCCTGCCCTCCAACCTTTGTCAGCATTACATGTAGTTTTTGGTATGATTTACTGACAGAGAAAATGTATAATTTTCTGCTGCTATGCGTTTGGAAATGTTGTAGATAAAATTGTTGATAATGTTTTTGGTAGTGAAAACAGAAATGCAAAAGTTGGTTTTAGTGTTGTTTGTGGTTGGTGCACATGTTCAGGTCATCCTGTTTGCAAAAAAACATTGCAATGTTTAATGGGTACTTAACGCAGACTGAAAATCTGCTGCTTTGAAAGCTATTTCTTTGAAAGATTGCACCCATTTCTGCATCCCCTGATCTTTTTTCCCTCACGTTTTTGGCTTTTCTCTCCCTCCCTTGCTCTTTTTATTTCTTCCCATTTCTCTCTTCTTCAAGGTACTCTCTTTTTCCTCCTTTCTGTCTCTCTGGCGTTCTTTCACTCGCTGTGTGTTTGCCAGAGGGAGGTTCACTTCATAGTCTTGGCAGCATTTTGTGTAATAAACTCCACACTAACGCTGGCTCATAAACAAATAAACCTAGGCACTGTGCGACGTAATTTCATCAAATCCTCCCCCGTGCTCTCTTTCCTCCCCTCCCAAGCCAGCGAAGCAGTCTGTCTGTGAGAAAGGCTCCCAGTCTTTGTAAGCTCTCTTCTGGTGTCTCCCATAATTCTGTGTTTGTGTCTGCGAATCCACTCTCGTGTCATGACGTCATTCTAAAAGCTTACAGCTCTTGGTGGACAAAAACAGATGGTTGAACTTTTAGCAGGAAAGGAAACAATGCCTCCTTGGTCCCTTGTTAGCTTTGGGTATTAAGTTATAGAGGACAGGTAAGGATCTATCAGATTATGAAGGTTTACCAACAATTACTATGTTGAGTATTGTGGTTTACATCGACACAGTTGTTGCCAACTACTAATCCACTTCTCCCATTTGATTCTAGGGTTTGTGCTGAAGAAAACCATGAAATCCTCTACTTGCAGCACCTGAAAGAGATTTACATAATCAAGACCCGATGGAAGAGCCGTACAAAGATTCTGTAGCCGTAGACATGGCAAACCCTGAGGAAGAGGTCTGCAATGGTGGATCCGCCGCCACTGATGCAGTTGGGAAACTGGAAGGGGAGACCACTCCAATTATTTCACCCGAGACATGGAATGTCAGCTCTCCAACCATCACAAGGCGATCCCCGTCGCCCCTGCTAACGATACAAGCCACCCCGGTGGTGACCCCGGCTGCTGAGTCTCCCAACGGTGTTGCCCTGAAGGTTGCTACAACTGTGCTCCAGCCAATCTGCTTAGGGGAGAGTCCAGTAGTATTGCCAATCCTTGCTGGACCAGCTGCCCCTCAAGTCGGACAATCAGGGGCCACTTCGTACCTGATGACTAGTCAGGGTCCTGTGTCCCTACCTCTGGTCTTGGAACAACAAGTCCTCCAACATTTGAATCATCAATTGCTTCAACAAACAGCAACTTGTCCTGCCCTGCCGCTGCAGAACAGCATCCTGTGCCAGAACCCTTCTCTTGCTTTTGGAGCACCTCCAGTCCTGGACCAGAAAGGCACAAGTCCAGTGTTGGATACTAGTCTACTGACTCTTCTTCAGAACCCTAACTTTGCAGCCATCCTGCAGGACCTCTTCCCTGGCCAAGGCAACTCTTCTCCCACTTGCCACCCAACGTCTTCCCCGCAAGTTGACCTTGCCTCTGCGTTCTTTCCTCCTCTGCCTCTCTCGCACCCCTACAGCTCTCCACTAGCCCCTCTGGTGCCTCCAGCCACCTTGCTCGTCCCCTATCCTGTTGTGATCCCACTTCCAATGCCTCTTCCAATCCCAGTGCCAATCCCAGTCCCGGTCTCCACTTGCAAGGACTCCAAGGTAGAGGTAGACGTCCCTAAACCGGCTTGTACTTCAAGCAAAAGCACACAGACTTCACCTAGTGACATCTCCCCTCATTTGACATTTACCAGCAAGGAAATGGCAGTAGTCCAACAGTCTCTTCGCTCTTGCTCGTCCCCTGTAGTGACAGATGGAGAAGTGCTAGATTTATCCATAAGGGCACCTCAACCTTCAATCCATGTTGATGTGCCACAAGGGATCCAGCCATTTCAGCAAGACGGTGTCCTTGATTTGTCTATACCTAGTATAAGAAAGACATGCATCCAGACTTGTAGCACATATGGGCCATTGGCCCAGGAGCGGGAGAGGGTGTGCCACCTGGGGGACAATGTTAGCAGTGGGGCTTTGGCTCTTGGGGTTCTCCGGCCAGTAGAATGCACGCCGAAGCTAGACACCAAGCTGCTAAGTGGTTTAGCATCTCTAGAGTTCAGCAGACAGCACAAGTGGGTGGTAGATAGCGGTCACGGTAGCACAGTGGCTGGGGCGCTACATGACTCTGCGCTCACCGGAAGCGGCAACATCGAGATCGTCAGCACGTCGCAGACTGCCAAAGTCATCGTGTCGGTCAAAGACGCCATGCCTGCCATTTTCTGCAGCAACCTAAAAGGATTATCAGGCGTTTCTACAAAGAACTTTTCCATCAAACGTGATGCCAGTCAAGGGGGCTTCGCCACACTTCCCAGGGTCCCAGGGGATCAGCGAGGAGAATCCAGTGACCCGCTCAAAAAGATCTCTAAAAACAGAGGCATCAAACTGAAGAAAGTAAGCTCCCAGGAGATTCATATACTGCCCATAAAGAAGCAGCGACTGGCGGCGTTTCTGCCCAGAAAATAACACATGCTCTCTTGAGAGTGAGAGTGAGAAGGGAAAACCAAGGACATGAGCAATGAAACCGCTACTGAGGTGTAGCTAGGTAAATAACTACTTTGAAAAAAGCTGGTCTGAGAAATTTAACCAGGGTATGATGATGATAAATGCATTCCTGGCAGAAATAAAGCCTAAAGCTTGTTCTCCAAGCTGTTCAAATGATTTAGACTGATGCTAGCCGCCTCTGGTCTGACGGTTGGCATTTGATCCATTCATTATAAAGCAAGTCGACAGGAAAATGCTCCAAGTATAAAAGAACCAATCTGAATTGCCTAAACTGCACTACTACTGATATTTTTTAGCATTAACGCCAGAATCGACTCCCTTCCTATGCATTTTGATTTCGGTCACACATCCTCATGAATGATTCATCACGCGTAATCTGCATTGTCATTAATATGCATGAGATCTGTTTTGAAACCTGGCCAGCTGTCAGTGAGAAACGCAACGTGTAGCCCTGACAAATTCTCCTCTCGCTAATATGATGAATTCTTGCTCTCCTCTCGCTGTTTACACTTGGAGTGCAAGACATTTCGCATTTTTGGTCCTAATGAACTGTAGAAGGGAACCGTGACCTTTTGCTTCCCTAATCACTGTATTAATCAGTGGGGCACTGGAGCGGAGCATCCTCTTTGAAGAACAGGGAGGGGTAAGCAGTTAGCATGGCAGCCTGATAATGACTTGGCAAAGCCCAGTTCTCGGTTTCATTAAGTCTGATGATTGGAGGAAATGGTTGTCAGTAGCAACAAAGCATAGTTTTCATCATCCTCCCTTTGGGGGGCAAAAAGCCTCCCTTCACCCGCCCCAAACTAAATTAAAACTAAATAATCATTGGGGGTTCGTCCCTAACGACAACAAATCTGAGTGAAATGGCTTATTAATGCTGTTTTTATGGCCGTGGGTTCAACTCGGGAGTCATTTTTTAGGTTATAGTCAGCCAGCTGTGTGAACACAAGGAGAGTTTCCCTTGCAACAGTGTACAGATTTGAATGATCCTAATATACCTTCAGTGTTTTAGATGGTGAATTGCCGACAATGGACGTGAAGAGTTCAAAATTAAACATCTATCCCTCAGCAAGCATTAAGATCAGTTTTCCTTCTCGGGTGAGCCTGGTTTTCTTTATACATGTTACTTGTCATGTTGTGCAAAATTCATTGGTGTATGTTATTCTTGTGTTTATTTAATCTTTGATGAAAATGAAGAACTTGGGTGATGTCAGCAAAGTTGCACAAGCAATTGGTTAATATTAAGGCTGTTTAGTCGATGTTTTAAGCTACTGTTGCAGTCTTGCTAATAGATAATGCAGAAAATTTAATGCCAAGTAACATTACAGGATAAAAGGTTATGGCAATAATGATAGAATTAGAAGTGTTACCATTTGAATATGTGGAGATGCTCGAGGGTGAACTTGACATTCAGTCCCAGTCAAAACACCTCTTCAAAAGTGTGTGCTGGTGATTTTTACAATCCATTGCAAACTCCCCTTTAGGTCTGGCCTCATTCCCCTGCTTGATCAAATACATTTTTAATGGAGAAAATTAAGTGCCACTTTTTTTTAACTTTAAACCATTCATTAAGAATTTTAATGTGGATTATGAATGCTGCTTTATGGCACAAAATCTGTGATTTTGTTGCTTTCATGTGGCTGGTGGTTTGATTGATAGCATGAGGGCGTGTATTGAACCACAGGTTTCCACCCTCTCATTAACCTACTGATCATCCCAGTTTAGTAATCAACTTATTAAAATCGTGCTACAGCTGACAGACCCCACATCACAAACTCAACACTGAATCAGCTAAATTAGCCCCATAAGCGCATATATAAAACCCATTTTATTGAAGATTTTTCACATTGTGACATTTTCATGACTACTCTCATTATTGTATATAAGTGGAACTTGATTTACTGAGTTTACTCCTGTTGTTCGAAAGGATATTTTGGGTAAAGTTCACAAAAATGGTCAAGAACATGCCAGCAAGTCATATTGCACCCAAAAATGAAAAGATCTAAAAGAAATCAGATTTTGCTTTAAGAAAATGAGTAGAATCAGAATTCAGAAAGAGCTTTTAAACCTATTTTGAGGACCATTTTTAGTGTTTCTTTTTTTTTTTTTGCACTGTGATAGTTATCATAAACACAATTTTCCATCATGAGAAATAATATTTATATATATAATCAATTTCTCAATATCAGTTACTGTATTTAGTTGACCACAAAATTACTCTCATATTTTTTCTTCTTAATTTAGAGCAGCATTAAAGGTAAAATACTGTCACAATGTAAAAATCCTTTACCATTTTAATTTTTGCTTTTTTGTGCATTTATAATAGTGAGAATTTGGATGGAAAATGGTGTTTATGATAAAATATCACAATGCAAAAAAATTCTGATTGGACTGAATTCTATTCATTTTCTTAAAGCAAAATCTAATTTCTTTAAGATCTTTTAATTTTTGGGTGCAGTATGACTTGCTGGCATGTTCTTGACCATTTTTGTGAACTTTACCCCAAATCTCCTTTTAAACAACAGGGGTAAACTCAGTAAATCAAATTTTATTCTATATAAGGTGTTATATTTCATACTTCATGCAAGTTCACCCCAACCGTAAGATCATCTCCACAGCCAAACCAACAAGAGTCTCATTTGGTCACACATGAAGATTCTGTGTAACGTAATTTTTTGTTTTTACTAAGTCAGTACCAATATGGTGCAGTGGCTCAGATGAGAAGTGACTTGTCCTTCATTCCACTTTCAAAATAATCAAAATGAGCTTCTAGACACACCATCAGTAGTGTCCACAGAGAGAAAGATGAAAGCAAGGCAGGATTTATTTGACATGTCAGTATGAAATGTGCCGTCTCGTGTTTGCGTGTTTGCTTAATGGAATTCTTGCAGAAGGAAAATCAGGAAGGCGTCTTTTATAGTTCACATTGAGCCAGGAAAGGTTTTCATGTAGAACTCTATGAACTTTCTCAAACTATCAGCTTAACAGATTTCCTCCATTTTCAGACTACATTCAAGCCTTGGGTTTAATGTGTTTTTAAACTCTAAAGCCTTGCAACAATGTCCTTCCTCAGTTTTTGTCTTGTTTTCCCGTACAAATATCTAAACATTCTTAAATCAAGATGTATTCAGTGGAGAAGATATATATATATATTGTGACTTTGTGCTTAAAACAAGAAACAAGTGATCTGCCAATAGAGTAAGAAAAATAAACTTGTTCTCCTTTTAAATAAGTCTATTTTTATTAACCCATTGGTAGATGTTTTTTTTTTTAGTTTACGCAAAGAGTCACTAAATTGAAAACTATTGAAAACTATTAAATGCATCTTAATTTAAGAATGTTAGGAAGAAAGTCAAATTTTGCATTTGGAAAAAATCATTTTCCAGCATGTGATACAGTATATTCTCACTCTTCTCAGATCAGAATAAACCATGACCGTTTCTATGATGTGAATTCATTTGTGTCAGACGATCCTCTAACTCTTTTATAGGTACTGACATTTTAAGTATTGAATGTCTGTTTGTTTTAACATGAAGAGCTTTTGTAAACAACTGAATGGGTAAAAGAATGAAACAGAGTCTGGTGATGTTTTAAATTATTTATTTATTATTTGTATCGTTGAAAATGTGTACGTGACGAATGCATTAGCTTTAAAAATTTCATGATTAAAAACGTCTCTGGTATCAAGATCGAAGAGTGTGTGTGTGTTTTTTCATAACAAGTATTGATATTCAATCATTTGATGACTCTATATGGCACAACATTACGAATACATGTGATTTTTTTTTTTTTTCAAAAAGTTTGACAAAGGAACTGAAAAGTCGAAACGATCACATTCACGACTAACTTGAAATGCTACGTTACAAAAGATGGGAAAAAACCTGAGAAGTTTTAAAGTAAAGCAAGGCAATTTGAACATAGCTATTTAAAATGGACGTCTCCTCCCGGTAAAAAGCGCTGGAAGGCAGTACAAGGTATATTAAACAACGAATCCCAAATAAACAACCCCCCGTAACGTATCGTCACGCTTCCCACCTCCATATACAACATGTTTAGCTTAAAATAGTTCTTCTCTACAAAATTGTACATTCCTGTTGCTGAGTTTTATGGTTAAACCCATAATACGCCATTGACGTCTGATCTATCGATGAAAATGATCAAATATCAACATAAACTTCGAGATAAAGCCGGAGGAAAACACGCCGGCGTTCACATTACATCACATTCCCACTATTTTAGTGATATTTCTAATGAGGCTTCTACAGCGACGCTTCATTGAAATGAACCGGTTTTGACGACTTTCCTGTCCTCGAGTGGTAAACTCGTTCATTTCTCCATCACATGCTGCGTTTAGTTCTCTTGAATACTGCTCTGCGGCTGCTGTAGGTGTCAGGTTAACGTCTAACCCTGGCTTCGCAACACTTCGTAACACAAGTCAATTCAAACATTCCCCAGATAAGAGCTTGACGAGTTTCTGTAACAAAACCGAGGCCAACTCAAACAGCGTTATCTCCTCGGAACGCTCTGGAACATCCACACTCGTGACACTCGAGACTAAACTCGGAGTCGAAAGAGAAAATACACAGCGTACGGGAAAACTATATTAGATATACGACATAATGAAACTCGGATATTGAGGTTTTTCAAAGCAGAAGGGCATTTCACTGATAAAGATTACAGTATTTCATTACTATTTAGGCTTAAATTTAAGATTTATGTATTTAAATTGCATATAAAAGTTTAGAATTCACAGTTTTAACATTAATAAACAATGTGATGTATATTTGTCAGTCATACATAAATGAAACAGGTCAGATTTCTGTAATAGTACTAATAAATTGAATACACAATAACCAGCTTTATATATTATATATATATATATACACCCAAATAATTTTGATCTCATACATTTTAACTAATTGAGTATTGCTTGTTCCACTCCTAGTCATATTTAACCTTGTTTATACTTTTAAACTGAATAAATTTAATTGTTTTCACAATTAACAATTTATGCTGATTCTAAGTGATTTGAATAAATGCATTTTGAAAATATTTAAATGATCAAATATAACCATGCAATGATTTTGAGTGCAAAAATCTGTCCCGTTTTTAATTTACGCATGACTGACAAATATAAATTGCATTAAGTTTATTATTATTATTTTAATGTTAAAACTGTGTAATCCAGAAGGATGGAAATTTTATATACAATTCAAATACATAAATGCCAATTTTAGGCCTAAATGTTTTTTTTGGTTTGTTTTGATTGTTCTGATGTGATTTACTAAAAATCAATATGTGCCAAACTGGTTCACAATATGCTATTAATATTGTTTTGATGTTTTGAAATAGATGTTTGGAGCGAAAACATTGAAGATTTACTTGTGAACGCTCTTAAATCTAATCTCCAACCAAACAAAAACAAGCAGTTTAAAGGGTCTGTTTGGTCAAAAATAATTTCGCCAATGTAGCAGAATTGCATGAAAACGAGCAGCGTGAACATTCTACAAAACGTCTCTTTTTGTGTTCGACGGAAAAAACAAAGTAGTACGGGTTTGGACCGTAAATAATGACGATTGGCCGAACTTTTCCTTTGAGGTTACGAAACATGATGTGTTTTGTTTGAACCAAATACACAAATTAAACGCAACTAAAAAGCAAGTTTTCAGTGGCTGTAAGTGATTCCAGAAACACCTGTGGACTAGTATGACGTCACAGGGAGGTAGAGCGATAAATAGCCAACATCAGACTCAAGAACCAGCACTATCGGTGAGCTACTCGGCCCGTAAAGCGTCTGCATCTTTGTGGAGACGAGATGGCAGGAGATAAGACCCATCCAAACGCACCTTCGCTCCCGTTCGCTCCCAGAGAGCGGCACTAGTGTTCCTCAGAGTGTGCTCTGGCTGCAGATGAGCGTCCAGGTGTGTGTGTTTATGTAGAGCAGCACACGGCGGTTTCCCATCAGCCCCCTCTGGAGCAGCGTGTCGATGTGGAGGTGAGGTTTCTGTCCGTGTGCTTCACTGCTTGCCCTGCTTGAGTCTCTCGATGTGGTGGCAGAGTTTGAGCGCCGGTCCGAGTTTCAGACCCATGTACTTCATCACCATGTCGCTCCTCAGTAACATCAGAGCTTTACCGTCGATCTCCTGCAGACAGAGTTTTACCATGGTTAACTCTTTCCCCACCAAACATGGAGTTTTCCGTTATTCATGAGACGGTTGCTGCATCCCAATTCGCATACTATCCATCCTAAATGTGACCCTGGAGCACAAAAACAGTCTTAAGTCGCTGGGGTATATTTGTAGCAATAGCCAACAATACATTGTATGGGTCAATATGATCGATTTTTCTTTTATGCCAAAAATCATTAGGATATTAAGTAAAGATCATGTTCCATGAAGATATTTTGTAAATTTCCTACCGTAAATATATCAAAACTTAATTTTTGATTAGTAATATGCATTGCTAAGAACTTCATTTGGACAACTTTAAAGATGATTTTCTTAATATTTAGATTTTTTTGCACCCTCA